TCCAGTTTTCTGGTCATTGGCGCAATACATTTTTAGAATGTACATTGCTTGGGCAGATCTGATTAGAGTAAACGGGAAGCACAAAAAGCTTAACCAGTCTAACCCTACAGACAGTTTTGATTGGGGGTGGGGGGGTAAAGAATGGTCAGGTACTTTTTCTATTTCAGCTCTTTGTTTTAGGAGGCTTGAACATGTAAGAAACCCAAATGCACTTACCATATAAATAGGTCAGAAATGCTTAGCATTACCGCTACACAGAAGCCCTTTACATATACACATAGTGTTGACTCTTCAGATGAAATTTAGAGTCTATGGCTCAGTAGTAGAGCTATTTTAATATGATTATGCATTTAACAGGTCCACAGTTTCACAGCACACACAAAAAAACAACTTCCTTTAGATCTCTTACGAACTTTGGAATAGCATTAATGACTATAAATAGACTTTCACCCAGAGTACAAGTGCATTTCATTTACACAGCCACAAAATGCTCCTTCAGCTGAAGCCTTAGATCTGGGCCACTTTTAAATATCAGCACTGTTCAAATGGCAGGATTTTCCCCAGCTGAATGATGCTGAATATAAACCAGAGAAATGTGAAAAGTTTTCCTGACCATATATACCTTCCAGGCCAAAATGCAAACCATATATATGATGTAAGAGAGGTTACAGAGGTTACTATGCATGGTTCAGGTCTATGCAACTTCAGATTTAAAAACCTCAAACATTTACATAGCAGAGTCTTTATCACTATGTGTATCTGTACTTCCAGATCCCAAGTCAAATACGCTTTCACAGTGAACAGCAATAGTTGTTTCATCAATCATAAAATGACTTTTGACTTTTTAATGCTGTTTAATTTTTTTTCTGTCTTTTTCTTTTCTTTTCTTTTCTTTTCTTTTCATTTTATTGGTAGCGGAGAGCGAACTCACGACCACACACCTGCAAGTGAGGCACTTGTGCCGCTGAGCTAAATCCCCAGCCTCTTTAACGCTGTGTAAATGAACATTAACTCTCTTGTTTGTCCTTGTTTTCTTTCTCAAGCAGTCACTACTTGCATCAGTCCCACACCTGTTACCTGTGCATCCGCCTTGTTCTCCAAGACCACAGCGATTGCTCTCTGCTAACAGCTGGGTTTCTTCCCTCCTCTGATTCTCAAAGGTGTTAGGGGTCTGTTCCTTCGGAAGCCGCTATGTCAAAGTTTCCAGCCTTCCTTACCTCAGAGGGCAGAGCCACGTGAGGAGCACTGGCCTCAGAGAATGAAGAGGATCTGAGGCCGACAGTCAGTGGGGACACGTGCACGCTGTCCTGCAGCAGCACAGCACTAATTCTGCAGGCCCCTGAATGAGGATGGAGAGGGATCCTCAGAGCAAAGCCACTTTGAGTTTCGATTTAGGACTTCTGAGTCACTACACAGAGAATAGAGCTGAGCCCTGGAGTGAAAGCTTTCAGATAAGTGACTTTGTCTTAAGCTGCTAACTGCGTGGTAAACTGATGCCTGCAATAGAACACCCTGCACCCCACCATTGCAATGCCTGTGAGATGCCTGAGGGTGGGCTGCCACCTTCTGATTAGCAGCAAAAGGAACAAAAGAAAGGGCTAAATGATTTCAGAAAACTTGTCTCTGGCATTCAGGGTTCTGCGTGTCAGCTACCTGCCTTCAGACTTTTAAGATTAAATGTGTCTCCTGTATGCACTGCATTGTGGGATCTTGCTTCTTGATGTCTTCTGCCAGTCTGTTTCTTTGATGGGTGAATTGAGACTGTTTCCATCGATGACTATAGCTGACAGGGTTTCCTTATCATCTTATTTTTCTATTACTGGTTCCTGTGCTGCCCCTCTGTTTAAATGCTCCATGGAGCAGTATCTCTTATCACTTTCCAGAATGTCCTTTTGAATATTCTGGAGTGCTGGTTTGGTGGTCCTGAATGTCTTCAGGTGTTGTCATGGATGTATCTTATTACTCCATCAGATTTGAAAGATAGTTTGGCAGGGTGCATCAATGTGCCTTGCAGGCTTGAGGGCTTGAAATTCTGCACTCCATGATCCCCCTGAATTCAAGGATTGGGCTGAGAAATCTGCTACAATTCTGATGGGCTCTCCGGTATAAGTGACTGGTTTTTTTCCAATACCTTTGCGTAATCTGTTATTGTCCTGAATTTCTGCAGTCTTGATTATTATATGCCTTTTTATACTGGGCATGGTTTATTTTGCAAGTTCCTTTTTATTTTGATCATGGCTAATTGGAGTTCATCAAGCCGCGCTTACCTGAGTGTCAAACATTTTCCCCACACAGGAAGTTTTCTGTCATGACTTATATAAACAGCTTCTTTAGCTCCTATGTGTCATCTCCTCTTTTTCACTCATTCTGATTAATCTTGTTATTTTTCATCATCTAGCAACTCCTTGATTGACTTTCCATGGTCCCTTGATATTTTGAAGAAATCACAACCAACCACAATTCTGTCTTCCGTACCTGACATTCTGTTCCCACAATGGCTCATTCTGAGCCATATACTCTAAATCTTCTCCTCAGTTCTCTGGACTCCTGTTTGAATCTACTTCATGGAGTCCATTTCTTTCCCAAGGTGCACACTCATGCTTTCCATTATTTTACTAAGCTCTTCTTTTTTTTTTTTTTTTTTTTTTTTTTTTTTTTGTCTTTTTCGTTTTTATCGGTACCAGGGATTGAACTCACAACTGCCTGCATGCAAGGCAGGTGCTTATGCCGCTGAGCTAAATCCCCAGGCCCCAAGCTCCTCTATTTTTGTTCCTGTGTCTGTTCTACTGCCACTAACCCTGTCTTTGATGATGGTCACCATCCCTGCAGGTGTTGCGGAAGCTATGTGATTTGATTTCTGTCTGGAGCCCGGTGGATCTGCTCTCTTACTTGTCCTGTTGCCACTTCTGAGTCGGGGTGGCTGCTTCCACATGGCTCCACCTCACTGCCCTCTGGGTTTGCCACTGAGGAGCTGGAAGTCTGGGGGTGGCGCTTGCTTAAGTGCATCAGCATTTTCTATTGTGTTTTTCAGTTTATTCCTGGGTTGCTATTGGGAACTTGCCTATGGTGAGTTATTGTATTATTATATTGCTAATACTCAGAACCCTTAGGAAATGACTGGTTCTGAGGGTGTCCTCAGGGGGAGCGCTGGCTTTTGCATTCTGAGTCTGGTGCAGGATGCAACCTCCTCAGTTTACTGGGCATGAGGAACTGTTTCCTTGTTAGGCTCACGCCAGTCCATTTCTCAACAGCCTGCAGTATTTTTATGAAATTTAGGCAATCTCAGTCTTGGCATGGCAGGAAGAACTGGTGAGAACAAATGTGTCACTTTGGATACACTGGTACAGTCAACAATACCCGTATCATCAAACACAGCCGAGAAAATGGCAGACACTACGGGAACACACAATTTGCCACATTTAACTCTATGAGCTAGATTTGCGGTTACAGAACAAAATCTAAAATGAACCAGAAAAATGTATGCAGTACGTAGGCCTTCAGTATCACAATTTCACTCTCACAGGAAAAATAGACAGACATATGGGAAAACATAGAGAATATAAGAGAAAGGAACTGAAGCACAACTGGAGAGCAAAGAGAACACGTGAACACGGGCAAGCTGGTTCAGAAGACTAGCATGAAAGACAGGAGAAAGCAATAACAACACAGGCTGTGCCAGTGTCCGCCAGGGATCCAGCTCTCGGGAGGCTGGGCGGGAGGATCACCACTGACTGTGAGGGCAGCCTACCACACAAAGTGTGTTCAAGGCCAGACTGAACTACATAGTGAAACCCTTTACAAAACTGAAAGTACTTCCCACACAGGAAGTTTACTTAACATGAGGAAATTTAACTGCTAATGAGTATTACAAAGATAACAGAACATTTAAGAGCCCAATAATATATTATGAACAACATAAATTTATTTCTTCCTGTTTCAAAGCTAAGAAATCCACGAAAGGCCCTAATGATTGAATCCTAGTGAGGACTGGTGTCCTTAGCTCCTTATCAGCTCACATGCAGAAACAATCAGTCCTTCTCTGTGGTACAGTTTTTCTGTATTTTTGTTTTTCTGGGTTGTTTGGTTTGTTTCTTTGTTCGATACCTATGAGACAGGGTTTCACTATGTACCTCAAACTGGCCTTCAAGTCACTTTGTAGCCCAGATTTGGCTCCAACTCACAGCAATTCTTCTGCCTCTGCCTCCGACAGGCAGGATTCCAGGCTACCAACACCATGGCCCACAGACAGGTACAATCTTTTGCATGAGGACCTGGGTCTCACTTGTGGGTGCCCCTCCCTCGTGACATACTAACCTCCCAAACACGCCCCTCTTCCTGCCTCAGTCAGCTTGGTGCCCAGCTTCCCTAATTCTAGCACGCTGGGAGCCTGAAGCACAACTGCAAACTTGAACCCAACTCGGAATCCAGCAAATTACCCAGCACCTGTCTCAAAACATAAAGGGTTATGGCTACAGCCCAGGGTGAGAGCTGAACTACAACCCGAAGCCAGGCCACAATGTGTGAAAAAGATAGAAATAGGAGCTGGAGATTTAGCTCAGCGGCATAAGCACCTGCCTTGCAAGCAGGCAGTCGTCAGTTCGATCCCCAGTACCAGTAAAAAAAAAGAAAGAAATAGCATTCCACTAGGGATTAGATTTTAACACTTGAATTCAAAAAACAAACAAGATGGAGTCCGCACCAGGCATATAAGAACTGGAAAATTCACCTTTTTAAAAACTGCAACCTACAGTTATCAGAAACTATTGTTGCAAAACTATGGAAAGATAAAATATAGTCCGGGAGAACAGTCATAATATATTTCTTGGACAGAAAACTTGAACACAGAAAATTTGTTAGGAGTTTTCACACACAATTTTAATAAAAGAAAACAAAAAAGGTCACAGGATACAGCTCAGGGTGAAGGCTCTTCAGAACCCGTGTCGCACAAACAACATTGTCACTATTAAAATAAATCAATAACAATTCCAAACAACATCAAGGACTGACACATGGTATTTATTAGTGCAAAGGCTCCACACTGAACTATTTCCACAACATGAAGGATTCGCACTGTCTGTGCCCTTGTAACTGTCCATGCAGTCCTGGGGTGGTGCAGAGGCAGAAGATGTGCTGAGCACGGCCCAAGCCTGAGGTTCCAACACAGGAATAGGATGGAAGCTGCAGTCTGAAGCCCTTGTCCTCTGCAGGACTGAAGGTCCATTGAGGGCAGGAGGCAAACCTGGTGTACACTGCTGCACACTCAGAACCACATTCCAGTGATGAGGAATCAGAAATTATTTGTAAAATATTTGTGAAAAGAAGAAGAAAGAACTGAAGAGGGAGAAGAGAGTTTACTGTGTGCCAGTGAAAGATCGAGGATGAGGAAAGGGATAAAGAGCACATCTGCCCAGCTGGGAGGAGCCGTGGACAGGGCAAGGCCTGATGCTGAGGGCAGGCAGTGTCAGGGCTCAGGCTGTGCTGGGGAAGGAGCTCTAAGCTGGGGCTGCGGGAAGACAGAGAAAGCCTGCAGTGGGCAGCCAAGCTTGGTGGACACAGGAGGGGGCAGAGAGGGCCGGGCCGCTCAGAGTCTGTTACAGAAAGACTCCTTGTTACAGCACATAAACTGCACTCTGGATATCTGGTTGAAGAGCATCGAGGGAAAGCACAGGCTACTACAGCCCTGCCTCGCATACTGGAATTTGCCATCTGGAAAGCAAGAGACACAGGAGCAAACAATAAATCGGTGTGGCCAGAATCAGTGACTCGGGAAGGAAATGCAGCACACTGTCCTTCAGCTGGGCTCCCAGGCTGAAGGGACATGAGTCAACCTGAGATGACTGAGGTGGCCTTTCTCAGCCCATCTCCAGCACGGATCTTGCACACATCAGTGGCGCTTAATAGTCTGATTTCTGTAGCATCTCTTTACCTACATCTTTGAGGGGTACCCACGGAACCCTCAGAAAGCACTCTGCCTCCTAATAATTCCATCAGCACAGGCAAAACCGTGGCAGCCTTGTCCCTAAACCATACAAGCCTTCTCCCATATCCGGGGAGTAAGAACACTGTTCCTCAACGGGTCATCTCACTCAAGGCCAGGCCAGGCACGCCCCAACACCAGGCTCTCCCTACCTTTATAGATCTTCCGCAGGAAGCACTGCTGGAAGCCAGAAGTCTGGCAGGAGCTTTCCCGACTCTGGCAAACTCCATCAGCATTTGTGTGATCACACTGCACACAGGTCAGAGCTGCAAAGGCAGAAGGACCCTCACTGGTCAAGGAGGAGGCCGACACATGGGTCATGACTGCTGACCCTGGGAAAAGGATCATTCCCCTGGTGCAGGAAGGAGCTGGACTCAGGCTGATCAAATATCTAAAGGCGGCCTCACGGCACTAGCTAAGAGCAGCCAGCAGAGGGCAGGTAGAGTATTCCCACCGGGCACTCTAGCAGCCATGGACAGGGACTCTGGAAAGAAGAGGCAGGCCACATCAGGCCATGGGACCCCACCACACTTCCTGGGACCACTCTTCCATGTCTTCACATTATGAATCTTCATTCTCTGCAAACAACACTCTTGGCCCATTTACAATTCAAGGCCAGGGCCATCTGCAAGAAAGCTATAGAAAGGACTCTCCAGGGTTCACTCTGGGCCAGGAGAGCAGAAGAACCTGAAGGAGGACGACAGCAGTGGGCTGTCCCCAGGGTGGCAGGAGAAACAGGGGTGGGAGGTAAAGGGCAGCAATGGCCTCTAAAAGCCCTGGTCCACGCCCCTCCCCTCCCCACAGCCCAGAAATCATCTGCAGCCGCCAGTTAGTCTGCATGCCCAGCCCGAGGGAAGGCTGTCCCCAAGGACTCACCATGCACGAAGCCTGACAGCAAGGCCAAGCCCAGCAAGAGCAGCAGGTGCTTTCCCATCGTCAGGGTAGCCAGGACCTAGGAGCAACAGCAGTCCAGCCAGAGCTGCTACAGCTTTATCCTGCCGGGCTGAAGAGGCAGCCAATGGGAGCCCAGGCAGAAGCTGAGTTGCCCAGAGGCAGTGAGAGCACAGCGCCTGGGGGAACCAAGTCCCAGCTGCCTCACTGACTGCACGTTTTAGGGAACTTGAAATGAGGGTATCAGGCCGTGTGACCCATCCAAAGACGCTGTGGGAGCAGATGGCTGAGGAGCCTGACCAGTGTGGCCTCCTGTATGACTCCTTTCCTGCCTCAGGAAATGTTGTCCAGCAGAACACAGAGTCCAAATTTAATGCTTCTCACTTCATGTAAAGGGACACCTGCTGGACTATTACTCAAAAAGCCCTAACTCAAGACAGGAGATTTGGATGTTCTTCTAGGCAGGGTGCAGTCCCCACTAGAGTTTCTAAACTTGATGAAGACAATTATAAAACACGGATCTCCAGAAACACGTGTATGGCTTTGGTGTCAGGTGTCTCTGGAGCCCTCGGCATCCTGCAGACCTTGGCTCTATTCTCACTGTACTATAGACCTGAAAAGCCTACAAGCTTCGTGCTCCCCTCTCTACCCTGTCTCCTATCCTAGAGTCTTAAACTGAAGCCTGAAATGGATGTGAGATGCTATGGATTAAAAAATGGTGGTCACCATACTCATTAGCAAAATACATGAAACTCACATGCATAAATATCGAATAGTCTCCCTAGTATAAGAAATGGTAAGAGTACATAAGACTTTATTGTAACAATGATTCCACATTGTATTGCTCTGAAGCCATATAATATCTGCATTCATTAGGTGGGATAGTTTTATCCTACTTTGTTTGATTTTATTATCTATGATAGTTTAAACAGCTATTTTAAACAAAAGAAGACATTGGAATATCCAGTGCTTATTTAGTATCATCTTTATCTGAAGTACTACTATGCTTCAGTTTTTCTGTTTCCTTTGGTTCTATCCTGTTATATCTTATTATGTGTGATATTAGTATGTGATAGTATAAACAAATTTTCTATGGAAAGTCAGATAATATAATACCATTGTTCCTTTTCTGCTATTTGGTTCTGAAAGCCCTGTAATGCTTTCATTCTCTTGAATGGTTCTATACTGTTTTGTTATGCTTGATATTCTGGTATATGCAGCTATGCTTAAATATTTCAAAGAAAGAGACACTGTGGTAGTTACTGTTAATTATGGGTTTCTCTTGTGGCAAAATGCTTTGAAATTGCATTGTTATGATGTGATCTGCTTTGTTACGTCCTCTTTTGTCTTACACTCTTTAAAATAAAAAAAAAAAAATTTAAATGCTGGTCAACTTAACAACAGCGAAATTAAATCACCATGATGCTGCGCATTGATGTCCCACCCAAGGAAACTTGCCAGCATATATAGAGATGTGGAGAAGACAAGTGCCACATTATGGTTTTCTCTAAGTATTGCTGTTGGAGCCTTTGGCTCTCCTGGAGGAGCTCATCATGAGCAGCTTCCCCAGTGTAAGATCGATCATTGTCATTAGAGGAGCTAGGACATTGTTGGTGAGAGTGGCTGTGGTTCACATTGGGGGGAGCTCTGGTCCTTACATCAAACATTTCTTCCTAGCTCCCGAGGGGAAGACATATTCCATTTAATCTACAGAACAAACTGGTCATGCTGGCTTTCTGATACGTACTCAAGTATTCTTATCATTGAGGAGCTTGTGGCCTCCGTATCCCTGAGGATGGCTGTGGTACATTCCAGGGCAGCCCAGGTCTTATTTTGATCATGATTTCGCAGCTCCAGTATAAAACACTCAACCTGTCAGCACAGCTCCATCACCCCAATGGCATAGACTTTCTAGCTTCCATTGCTGACCTTTGTGCCTTTCCAGCTCAGATCCATAAATCAGACTGGTGAGAGGCCTTCTCGAGGGCTCTACACCTCCTGTTGGACACGTGGGAGGCACTGTCATGGCTCTAGGTTTTCATCTGGGCTCATGGAGGACATTGCTGTGGGATCCAGGCCCTTGGCTGAAAACTCTGCACATTTAGTGCTATGGACAGATTTTGCAGTGTTTAACTACAGGTGAACATCATAACATAATGTTATAAATTCTCTGTCCTGATTCTAATTGTTCTCCACACAACCCTTAACTACAACAGGGAACAATGTTTGTGGAGGATAAGGTACAGTTATTACCCAGCAACACTCAAGGGTCCTGTTCGACCCACAACACACGGTGTGCATTAAACATTTGCAATGCTTCACACTTCACATGATTCTACTCAAATTTTCACAAGAGCTTGTGTAGTGGGTATTAGCATTTCTTTGTACAGCTGAGGGAATAAAAATCTGGCCAAGGCGACTCACAGGGTAAACGACAGATTGATACCCAATTCTGAAGACTTCGCAGACTCAGGCACTCTGCTAATAGAACCCAAGGCTTCCCGAGTACTGGGACCCTCCTGTTGGTGTCCAAGGACCAGAGGACAGGGCCTCTGCTCAAACATGTCACCTGGGACCTTGTCAGATTGGCGACCTCACTCACACTAACTGACAGTGGACATTTGTCAACAACAGTCATTTTCCCAGTCTGTGAAGAATGAGTTGTTTATGAAATGCTTTCTCTGGGCCTCTCGCTTAGGTTTAATCGTAGAATGCTGAGCATGGGAAGGGGAGACCTAGGCCTTACTGTGTCGTCCAGCCCTACGGCTTTGCTGTGTACTCCCTGGACCTTTCCTCCTGCTTCTGCTTCCAGAAGGCCCAGCTGTCCAAATCCCCAGGCAAGCACGGCCCTGAGCTCCTGATCACAGTCTTTCCCACAAAGGACAACAGAGGCCCGTGGGGGGACTGAGGAGCCTACACTGTGCATCATGCAGCAGTCAAGGGCTGGTGGCGCGGAGGGGTAACACCAGGAACTTAAGGGGGAGAGACAGCATCATTTTCACTAACAATGACACACTGAGTATGCTAGACTTCAAAGAGCAAAGAAACTTGACTGCTTTCTTAGTACAAACTTCACAAGCAGAGTGTGCAAAATACCTCCTAAGCACGTGGAGATCACAAAGAGGAATCAACCCTGCCTGGGGCTCCATCAGCAAGGGCCTCGCTGTGGGACGGGGACATCATCTACATTTACCAAAACTGCAGTACATTTTTAAACATAGCAATTACACAAGTAATGTGACCTCGTCCTACTGAGCCTGTTGTGCTGCTGTCAGGGAACCCAGGGTGGAGGAAGAGGCAGCAATTCCATTTTTCTCAGCAGATGCAGTCAGGATGAACACTACTGTGACTCTCTAAGGAATGAGCTCCTCTCATCTCTGAGCCTGCAGACAGGACTTGAACGCGCAAATCACGGGACTCCCAGGCCCCATGGAAACATGCAGACCACTGCCCTGGCCAGGCTGGCTTCTGATGCTCCTGAAATGTCACACCTCACACCTCTCTCCATCCTTTAGGGAGGAGCTGAGAGTTCCCCCTCTCTGGTGAATGAGGACCCTTGTCATGTTTTGTTTTGGCAAAAACTACAATGAATGTTCAAATTCAAAATGTAGTAGAGTAACAGACGTTGCCATTAGTCCCCCTGTGTACTCAAAATACTGTGCTCACTTTAGCACCCTTATCCCAAACACTCTTAGCAATGTTTTTTACTTTAATGCATTTTGCAGTTGAACATTCATTGTGCTTTTGACCACCCTGTGTACCTATGGTGGTACTGGACACTGAACCTAAGTCCTCCCAGGTGGTCTACCATTGAGCTACATTCCCTGCCCCAATCCATTTAATTTTTATTTTGAGACAAGATCTCAGTGAGTTGCCCAGGCTGGCCTGAAAAATGCTATCCTCATGCCTGAGCCTACAATGCAGCACATTATAAATGAAGTTTTAATGGCAACCATTCTCCAAGTAGCTCATAAAACTCCTGAAACCTTTCCCGGTCAGCTTTGCTAAGCTGGCACAGCCCAGCCCCTCCACTGGTACTGTCACATTCTGTAAAGAGCCTCAGGAATAGGTTTCGTCCTTACTCAACCAGTTCCCAGTGCTGCTACCACTCCTCTAGTCCCTGACTTGATTTACCATAGAGAGACAAGTGTCTGTGGACAGCTGAGCAGACGCCGTTCCTCCATGTAAGCAGCCCTTTGGGGCCTTCACGAAAGGTAGTAGAGGATGCAGTGTCTAAAAGGACCCTGAGGATGAGTCTAATCAGGCTGTGGAGGCAGCCATCTTGGCAGCACTGTAAAGCTGTGGAGGCTTCTCTGGAGAAGCTGTTCAGGGAACCTTCTTATTTGAAGTTTCTGAAAAAGTCATGCAGGAGCTT